TATATATATATATATGTATATATTTTCAAAAGAGGCCATCTCTACCTGTATGTTTATATGTGATGCAATTATATCTATGAAGTTGGTAGAATATGCAGGGGATAAAGTTATGAAAACGTCTTACTCATAACCAAACATCTTGAGGGAATGAGCCACTGGGTATGGAGGCTCAGGACCATAGTCTGAGGGGGCACTAAGGTCAATCGGCATAATATAGTCCACAAAGACAATGTTCTACATCCTACTTTGGTGATCGGTAACTTGGGTCTTAAAAGCTTGTGAGCACCCGTCTCAGGTACAGCTATTATTTCTCCCCATCTGGAGCAAGGAAGAGAGAAGAAAACCAAAGGCACAGGAAACAATTAGTCTAAAGGACTAATGGAGCATGTGAACCCCAGCCTCCACAACCCTGAGACCAGAAGAGTTAGATGGTACCCAGCTACCAGTGCTGACTGCTCTGAAACAGATCACGATAAAAGGTTCCAAATAACATGGGTAAAAATGTGAGACAAAACTCAAAATCATAAAAAAGATCAGGCTTACTGGTCTGATGAAGACTGGTGGAACCCCCAAGACTATGGCCCTTGGACATCCTTCTGGCTAGGAACTGAACTTAGCCCCCATGAATCAATTGGCAGCCAAATGATAGAGCTATAAGGTGAACAGTAATATCAGGAGGTATGCACTCATTAGAACAATCAATCATATGAGAGCCAGAGAAAAAAAAAATTGCTGGAAGGATAGAAAGCAAAATGTTACAATAGTTCTCTCTCAATAACTATTAGGAATTTGGGCTTTTATATATTTTCTAAAGTTTTTACAATGAACATTTTTATTTCCTTCTTCCTTTTTATATTCTTCTTATTATTTCAATTGTCATACAATTAGTAATTGTGTATCATCCAAGAAAAGGAAGAAGAGGAAGTACAGGAAGCAAGGATGAAATGTATTACTGATGAATCTAATTTGGTTTCTCCTTCAGCTCCTAGGGAGAAGACCAGCCCTCACAAAAGTAACTCTGGGTTTCCCAAGAAGCTTCTTGCCTTATTGCTGATATTTCTGCTGCTATTGGCAATCTCATTCTTTATTGCTTTTATCAGTAAGTATGCCACATGAATCCGTAAGGAATGTCAGCCTGATACAAAGAGAAGGTGTCTATTACACATTGACACAACAATGAGTTCATCCAAAAAACCTGGAGAAATGTTCTTGGGGGGAGAGATAATTAGTGGGAGTTTATAGGGAATTTTAAGGGACACTAGTGTTAAGTGGTTAAAGTGCTCAGCTGTTGACTGAAAGGTTGGTGGTTTGAACTCACCAGCCACTCCATGAGAGAAAGATGTGGCAGTCTGCTTCCAGAAGGAGTACAGTCTTGGAAACTCCATGGGGCAGTGCTACTCTGTCTGATGTTGTTGTTGTTGTTATGTGCCGTGGAGTCAGCCCTGACTCATAGCGACCCCTCCTTGGGTTTCCGAGGCAGTATCACTACGGAAGTAGGATTGCCCAACCTTCCTTCCGAGGAGTGGCTGGTGGGTTTGAACCGCCAGCCTTCTGGTTAGCAGTCAAGTGCCTTAGCCACTATGCTACCAGAGCTCCCACTCTGTCTGATAGGATCACTATAAGTTGGAATAGATTAGAGGGTGATGGGTTTAGTTTGCTTATATTGAGAATTTTGCTCTTTATTTGTATTTAGTCAATCTCCTTAAAAGTAATACATCCATTTCATTAAAGAAATTGAAGACTCTTAGTGTGGGTATGTATGTAAGTTGCAGGGTAAAGTCCTCAGGCACTATCTTTACATTAGATATGGTGTTCACAGATTATGAAAATGAATCTTTATTTTCTTAGTAGCATTTTTAAGGCCAACTCTATTTGAGTGTTCAAAAACTTGTATTTTCCAGATGAGTAGGTGGACAGGAGGAAACATACCAGGAAAAGCTCTCTATTGCATTTTTAGCCCATTTACTTTTGTCATGCTTAAGACGATGTGAGTTCTAAAAATTAGCTCAGCAAATAGATAAATTTCTGTATATCTTTGGCTGTAAGAGTTTATCAGGCTGTTAAACGATACAAAAGTCAGTGTATATTTGGGTACATTTTATTCATTCATTTGGTCATTCGGTATGCAGTGATGGCCTGCTACGTATGCCAGGCACTGTGGCAGACAGAGAGACCCTTGGTTTCAAGAACTTCAGAGAATGGTGGTAGAGATATTAAAAACAAAACAACAACAAAAACAGTGGTTATGATGTTATTTGATGAGTGTTTACTGGAAGTAAATACAGGAGGCTAGGATAGACTTCCTGAAGGAGTTAACATCTGGATTTAATTAAGAAGAGAGTAAAAAGCATGTTATGAAAGGAGCTGTGTGTACACAGAGAAGTGAAAGAGCGTGACAAATTTGGGGGCATATAAGTATGCGTAGAAGGAACATATGGTGTTAAGTGAGGAACTGTGAGAGATGAAGTGGTAGATGGGAAAAATAAACAGGGCTCAGTTCATGAAGAGTGTTGTACCATTCTAAGAGTCTAGATATATTTTTTCCTGAAGGTTATTGCATCAATCATCTTTTGGTGCTTAATAAACCGATTTAAATCTTAGTGGATTAAAATAACAACTTTTTGTTAAACTTGTGACCGGCAATTAGGGCTGGGCTCGACTGGAGGCTCTTCTGGTCCTGGCTGAACTCACTTATGCATATACAGTCAGGTGCCAGTCACCTAGTCAACTCAGCTTCTGAGGGATGGTTAGATATTTTCTGAAACGATAGGGCAGTTTTTCACCAAGCTAGCCTGGGCTTTTCCACATAGCAAATTCCTGGCTTCCAAGAGTAAGAGTTGAAATAAATAAAGCCTAGGGTTGGAACTGGCACATTGTTAGTTCTGCCACATTCTATTGGCCAAAGGAAGTCATAAGGCCCCCCCCAGAGCCAAGTGGTGAAGAAATAAATTTCATTCTTGATTGGAGAAGCTGCAAACTGATGTGGCTACAGGAAAGGATGGAAAATTGTGGTGATTTTATGCAGGGTGTAACAATCATGTAGAGCTGTTGAAAAATTTGAAGCGGGGAAGTGATATAATCAAACATGACTTATAGACATATGCTTTTGGCAGAAGAAAATGAACATATGGAAAAACTTTGAAGTAAAAAGAACAATTCTAAGGCAAATTCATTAGTCCAATTGAGAAATAGTGAGAGCTTGACCTAAGGCTTATAATAGTGAAGAAAAAGAAGATAGTAGTGGGGAAGTAAAATTAAGGAGGTAGAGGCTTGATGAATATTTAGATTTGGAGGATAAGGGACCCAGAGAAATAAAGTATGACTCTATGTTTCTTCAGAAGTCATGAAGTTATTCAAAGAGGTAGACAGTATAGGATGAGTAGCAGGTTTGGGTTGGAAGATAGTGATTTAAGTTTTGCACATGTTGAGCTTTATATGACTGTGGGAACCTCACGTAGACATGTCTAGTGGGAGACATATTTGTCTGAATTTCAGAAACAGAGCTGATCTGTGGAAATCATTTACATATAGGTAGCGATTGAAGCAATAAGAATAAGAATATTCTCATAAGAATCCTCAGGGAAAGGATTCAGTATGAGAAGAGGGATAAGGATGGAACTCTGGGGAATGCTACAATTTAAAAGAGGTGACTAGAAGAAGGTGTTTTTAAAAGTGTCAGAAGCAGCAGCAAGAGAGAGAAAGTAAAGACAGGAAAGAGTAGTGCCTTAACAGTTAAGGAGGAAGAGACCTGGATCCAGCATTCAGGGAAGTTGAGTAAGAAGAGGACACCTAAGTGGCCTTTGGAGTCATCCTATAAGAGATTACTGACAACACATTGCAAGGGCAGTTTTAGTAGAAGGATGGAAGCAGAAGTCAGAATATGATAGGTCATAGAGCAAATGGAAGATAAGAAGTGATGAAACTCTCCAGAGGTAGAGGTAATTTGATGTTTTAATTGTAGAGACTTGAACATGTTTGTATGAGGAGTAAGAACCTGTTGGGGTGGATGGAGAAAGTAAAGAAGAGAAAGAGGATAATGTTCTCCTGATCAATGTTGATGTATCTTTTTCTGATTGACCACTCTCAAACTAACCCAGAATTCCTCATAAGGATTACCTGAATTATTTGCCTCCAATATCCATGCTCAGTACATCCTCAAATAGATATATGTTTGATTACTTGCCCTCTAGTTCTGGTCCCTTCTACCCCCAGGCTTAGCCCTTGCCTGGATCATACATTTAATATGTAAGTATAATCATATTCATGCTAATAAAATTATCATGTGCTCTTTCAGCTACTGATCATTCAGCTGTTATTCATGGAGGAGTCTATTGTTTCATAATTAGTGGGTTTAGGATTATGTTGATGGTGGAGTTACAGGAAATCTTTTCCACAGCCAAGATCCTTCTACTCAAGATAGTATGTTTTGTAGAGTTTGTTCCTATACAGAATGCAAGAAAGAAACAATAAAGAGCAGTCCATAACACCACCAGGAAAGTGAATGGTCTTTATTTTCTTTTCCAGTTTTCTTTCAAAGATATTCTCAGCTTCTTAAAGAAAAAAAGAATCTGAAAGGACTGTTTCATGAAAAACTGGCATGTGAGAAAACAGATTTGATTGTAGAAGGTAAAAATTAATGTGCCTATAAATTATTTGCTGTGTATACTGTGTGAGGATCCCAAATCAGTATTTCCAACAAGATTCCCAGGGGAATCCCAGTCTCCTGATCATTTTAAGCTACAAGTGTAAAAATACATGTTGTTTGTTGTTGTTGTTATGTGCTGTCGAGTCGGCCCCGACTCATAGCGACCCCTCCTTGGGTTTCCGAGGCAGTATCACTATGGAAGTAGGATTGCCCAACCTTCCTTCCCTGGAGTGGCTGGTGGGTTTGAACCGCCAGCCGTCTGGTTAGCAGGCAAATGTCTTAGCCACTATGCTACCAGAGCTCCTGTAAAAATACATAGGACCCAAAATTGGTATATATATAACTTTAATTTGTGTAAGAAAACAGAGGATTAGTGTGAAGAAAGGTTATATTGTTTTTCTGTTTCTTTGGCTTTCACTTCCTTTTGAAATTTCTGTGCACATTTTCTCTTTTTCTCATACACCATTTAAAACTTTCCCCTAAAAGATATGATCTCTTTGTGTCTTAAGAAAACATCAAATGTGCATAAAATGTTTCTGGAAGAATACATAAATGGTTAAAGGGTTTTACCTCTGAGAACTAGAACTGAAGATGATAGGAAGAGAAAAAAACTTTCTCTTTTATCATTGAGTTTTGTTTGATGATGAGGATGATGATTTTATTATGAATGTGAATTAATTTTTTAATAGCTAAGTGTTCATATGAAAAGAATAGTTATATTTTTTGATATAGGGGAAACAGATTTCAAGCAATTATTACCTTGTATTTTAACTTATATTTAATAGGGGGGAATGGCATCTTTCTATTCTTAAAGGAATTTCAGGCAGTTTTCTATAATAGTTGAGAGTTTTGGAAAAAGAGAGGTCTTTGTTTATAAAACAGAGATAGTATGGGAAGTAGTTCAAGAAGACGCTGTAGTTTCCATATTCTCAAAAGCACCTTTCTCATTTATGTGAGTGAGGATGAGAAGGGAGAAGGGAAATCTTTAGATACTGGAAGTCTATTCTAGGCCTGTCAGCATGAAGAGAAAGGCTTGTTCTATAACCACCCTTCCCAAGTACCACCAGTTTTTGTTATTTATAAATTCCTTATTTAGGCACATTTTCCTTCCTATTCATTACTATTCTTGTTTCTTAAGGCTAGTAGCTATCATTGATTGAATACTTACTGCATGCCAGGTACAGAGGTACATTTTTCATACATGTGCATGTATTAGGCAGAGGCTAATTTTATAAATACTATTTTATGTTAAATATTTAATTGTGAAAGATAATACACATGCAGAAAAATGCACAAATCATAATTATACAGCTTTTTAATTACTTATAGGAGCTCTGGTGGCTCACTGCCTAAGGCATTTGACTGCTAACCAGAAAGTTGGTGGTTCAAACCCACCAGCCACTCCCCAAAAGGAAGACAGGGTAATCTACTTCTGTAAAGATTGATAGCCTGAG